ACAATGAGTCTTTCTGCAAGGAACAATATATTCTAAAATGAAATGGAGATCTTTTTTAAAGGTTAAAAACTCATTCAGTTTTATGTCTTACAGGGTTTATACTGAGTTCAATATTGTATAACCGTATTAATTCAACTGTGAACCTAAAAATTTACAGCCACTTTTAAAAGAAATGTATCCTTGTTCTGGAGTGTTACTGAATATGTTAAAACTGTGAAAAAATGCTTCTTCTAATCATGTGGTTATTAAATTTTTAAAAATATAAAAAATAATTCTTCAAAGCATAAAAATTTGCTCCTTAATAATTAGATGTAAAAAACATTACCACTGAAATCTATCTGATGACCGTATATCCATGCTCAGATGCCAAGGAGCTCAGAAAGTAACCAACTGTGACTAGTAATAATCAGATATATAGAGATTAGAAATGCATGTGCATCTTAGTGTCAATCATATTAAAAATGAATTTTTCTGTATAAAACTGTGTTTTAATAATGAAATGGAGATCTTTTTTAAAGTTTAAAACCTCATTTAATTTTATGTCTTATAGGGTTTAGACAGAGTATATTATATAACTGTATTAATTCAACTATATACCTAAAAATTTACAGCCAATTTTGAAAGAGCTGCATCTTAGCTCTGGAAATAGTTATTGAATAAGTCAATGCTGTTCTAATGAAATGCTTCTTCTAATTATATGGTTATTTAATAAACGATAAAAATAAAATAAATAAAAATAAAGGTGAAGGGTGCCTGAGGAATTCCAGACATCCGAGGCTGGTCCCTAACTCCACACGCTTAGGTCACTGTTGTAGTTTCATTTCTGCTGCTGTGACAAAACACCCTGACCAGAAGCAACTGAGGGGAGTACAGGGTTTATTTGGCTTAAGGTTCTAGGTTATGGTCCACCACTGCAGGGAAGTCAAGACAGGAATTCAGAGGATCACATCCAAGGTCAAGAGCCGAGAGAGAACAAAGGCATGGAGAAGCTTGCTTACTAAAATCCCCAGCTTTCTCCTGTCTTTTTGGGGTTTCTTTTATGTTTGTTTTCAAAAATATTTTATTATTTTTATTTTATGTGTATTAGTGTATTTCCTACATGTACATAAGTGCACCCATGTTGTGTAATGCCCAAGGAGGTCAGAAGAGGGCGTCAGATCCCCTGGAACTGGAGCTACAGATGGTTATGAGCCACCATGTGGGTGCTGGGAATGGAACTCGGTCCTCTACAAGAGGACCTCTGCTGAGCCATTGTTTTTTTTTTTTTAATGTATGAGTGTTTTGCCTGCATGTATGTAAGTGTACTATGTTGTGCAATGCCCTGGAGACCAGAAGAGGATGCTGGATCTCTTGGAATTGGAGTTAGGATGGCTGTTAGCAACCATGTGGGTGCTGAGAACTGAACCCAGGTCTTCTGCAAGAGCAACAAGTGCTCTTAACTACTGAGCCATCTCCCTAGTTCCCACTTTCTCCTGTCTTATACAGTTCAGGACCCAGGGGATGGTGCCATCCACAATGGGCTGGTTATCAGTTAACAATCAAGAGAATCCCCCATGGGCTAGAGAGATGGTTCAGCAGTTAAGATCACTGACTGCTCTTACAGAGGACCTGGGTTTGGTTCCCAGCACCCACATGGTGGCTAAAAATAGTCCATAACTCCAGTTCCATGTGATCCGATGCCCCCTTCTGACCTCTGTGGGCACTGCACAACATGGTGCACTTACTTGCAGGCAATACACTCATACACATAAAATAAAATAATAAGCAAAATATTTTTTAAAAGACAGTCCCCTGAAGACATACCCACAGGGGAGGGTCCCTTCTCAGGTGATTCTAGGCTATGACAGGTTGACAATTAAAAACTACCCACCACAGCCACCCAGACAACCCATGAGAATCTCCAGCATCCTTAACTTAGTTGCATCCACAAAGTTCCCTTGGCCATGCCAGATAACAGTTATGAAACCCAGGGATTCGGATGTGGATGTTGGGAGCAAGGAGCATCACTCAACCTCCCACAGCACCAGATACAATTTTGATGTATTCCTGTCACTAGGGCCCACTATGATTAGGTTCCTGACCTGAGGCTGCTGGCTTGTCATCAAGAAGTGACAGATTGTCACATCAGTATTCAATGCTTCCACTCAAAGCTTGTGCTACTGTCAGGGGAGGTCCTGATTCCTCTGCCTCCTGAAAAACCATCCTCACAGCCACTGGGGATGTCTAGCCACGTGCTCTTTCACCTCCTTATCCCCCATGGATCTCACAGTGTCACCTGTGAGGCCTAGCCTAATCCCCCAGTTAAAGATTGAAATTAGGAAATAAAATAATCTTCCTCCTCTCTGTCTCTGTCTCTCCCCTACCACCCATCTCAGCTGCCGTCAGCCAATCCAGTGGACTTGCAGCCAAATTTGTCATCCACTGTCACATCCCCCAGTGGGGCTCCGACAAATGTGAGGAACAGCTGGAAGAGACCATCAAAAACTGCCTCTCAGCGGCTGAAGACAAGAAGCTTAAATCGGTTGCCTTCCCACCCTTTCCCAGTGGCAGGTAGGATGCTGTTTCTGAGTTGATACCCCCAGCCCTTCCCCTGGGCACCAGCTACTCCCCAACAATGCCCACACTCACAGAAGACCAGCCAAGGCCTGCCAGCATAGCCTGCATATTAGGCAACAGAGTTAAATCCAGTTTCCACCTTCCAAACGGAGACAGGCCCCCTGGCCCTTGGCAGGTCTCCATGGCTGAGGCTAGTTCTCCTACCTTGTCAATGTCAAAGCCCAGACAGAAAGGCAGCTACTGGGAGGTGCCATGGGCAAAGGCAAGGTAGCATGTTAGGTTTGTGTGTGTGTGTGCTTGTGGGTGCATGCTCATGTAGATATACGTGTGTGGGGATACACTAAGCTAGCTTTTTTATATAGCCCAGGACCATCTGCCTGAGGAAGGCACCACCCACAATAGGCTAGGTCCTCCCACATCAATCATCAATCAAGAAAATCCCTCACAGACACAGCTTGGTCAATTTCTCAACTGAAACTCCTCAGATGACTCTAGGCTGTGTCAAGTTGACAATTAAAGCTAACCAGGACAGGTACCATCCACCTTATTCTTTGAGGCATAGTCTCATTGGTCTGGAGCTCACTGATTAGGCTAGGCTGGCTGACCAGCTAGCCCTAGGGATCCACCTGTCTCTGCCTCCCAGAGCTGGGATTACAAGCGTGAATCACCATGCCTGGCCTTTTTTCATAGGTTCTAGAAATTAAACTCAGGTCCTCATGCTTGTAGGGCAAGCACTTTCCTGACTGAGCCATCCTGACAATGCCCTCATGTTAGTTTTTGAAAGCCTGCCATGTTCAAAGCCCACATCCCCATCAGTGGTCCTCACCTAAAACATAAGACCAGAAAGAAAACACCAGGCTCACAAGCCTTGCTACTGCCCAAGTGGTCTGCAAATTGCAGACCAACATCCCCCGCAGCTCCAACATCCCCTGGTTCGAATGTGGGCACCTGGGCCCAACTTGCTTCATAATCCCCAAGGATGATGAAGCCCCTAAGGAACAGCAGAGGAGGATGCAGCTTTGACATCCACATCCAGAGCAGTGCAGGCCTCTCACTGACGCTTGCTACGAAGTGGCTCAGTGACATAGGAAGGCTAAGAATGAACTAATGAATACTGTGGGATATATTCTCCAGGGGCAGAACCATAGGCAGTGTGTTCTACACAGAAGCACACATTCGTAAGGCAGGCCCATACTGAACCTATAACAGAGGTCTTGGACATGATGGCTATGTCCCCTAGAGGCTGGTGGGCAGCACTATCGATGGCTCCCTTGGGCTTGGGGACCTCAACAAACTTTGACTGCCAGCCTACCCAGATTAAGTGCATGAAAAGAATTTTCTTTTTTGGAAGCAGGGTCTTGAACTCACTATGTAGCTGAGGATGACCTTGAACCTCTGATCCTCCCGCCTCTGCCTCCTGAGTGCTGGGATTACAGACATGCACCACCACCTCTGGTTTATTCAGTGTTGGGGATCAAACCCAGGGTTTTGTGTATGCTAGTCAAGCATTTTATCAACTGAGTCACATCCCCAGCAATTTGGAACTGAGCTGTCGGGTGCACATCTTGCCCTTGTTGAACAATCTGATCAGCATGTAAACTAGCTTCCAACAAACACGTTTGCTTTTTTTGAAGACCAGGTCTTATAAATGCAAGTTTGCAAAGCCAAGTTCTTTGAGTAGGCAGACAGAGATTCAAATACAGGACACCCCTTAGTTTCCCGCTCTGTGACCTTGGCTAAAATCACTGTGGTAACCCATCCACTACAGGCAGCTCCGCCTACCCAAGTCTTCCAGGCTGGCCCTTCTACTAGTATCAGAGAAGCCGTGTGGGCTGACCCCATGCATGGTGAGGTTCCATGTGGTACAAACAAGGGCCCAGGGCCAGAAATAAGGAACTGATGCCCACACCCCCCCCAACACCCAGACTAAGGGAGAGACAACAGTGGGTCCAGGGACCAAAATGACACAGGCTCTCCTTTCGCTTTGGGCACAGAAACTGCTTTCCCAAACAGACGGCCGCCCAGGTGACCCTCAAGGCCATCTCTGCCCACTTCGATGACTCAAGCGCGTCCTCGCTGAAGAACGTGTACTTTCTGCTCTTTGACAGTGAGAGTATCGGCATCTATGTGCAGGAGATGGCCAAACTGGACATCAAGTAGTTACAGCGGGGATGGAGGACCAGCGATATCATAAGAGTGGGGTTTTATTTTTTAAAAGGAGCGAGGAAAGGTGACATGCAAGGGAACAGAGGGTGGCTGAGAGGGACATGGGAGCAGAGGCAGCGGGCACAGGTCCCATCCACCAGGGGAAGGGGCCCCCTGCATTTTATAGTCTCCTGCAAAGGGCCTCTTCTGTAATTAACCAGGGCTCCACCAGGGATTTCTGCTCATATGTTTTCTTCCTGTTGTTTTAGAACTTTTTAAAAAAAAATAAAATAAAAACAGACCTCGTTTAGATTTATAGCATTGACTTTTATACACCCTCACCAAAAAAAAAAAAAAAAAAAAATCACTTCAAAGTTCTTAAATCTTTGGTTCCTCCCTTTTTCCAAGTGAAGAGGGAGTGAACCACTTGGGAGTACTGGCTTTCTTCCTCAGTGGAGAGAAGACAGGAAACACATCCCTGGGTGCTTTTCTCATCTGTTTTAGAGTCCCCTCCTCTGACCCCCCCCCCAAATATCTGTAACTCCACCTAAAAAGTTTTTGCTTTGGGATTTCTGTTTGTTTCATTTTGTTTTTTTAAAGAAAAAGAAAATGAAAGGAAAAAAAAATAAAAGATCCAGTGTCTTTCTTATACTCTTTTATTGCAATATTTTCCACCACTTGGAAAACTGTGTCCCCACAGGTGGATTCTTCTAGAATGTTGTAAGTAAATATGACAAGGCATGTCACTAACAAGCTGAGAATCCCACCATTGCTCTGCAAAGCCTGGGGTCAGACAGGACCACAGTGGGCTCCCAGGTCAACAGACAGCACCATGGCAGGCTCCAGAGTTAGCATCGTGATGGGCTCCTGGGTTGGCAGACAGCACCACGGTGGGCTTTTCGCAGGCGGCTGATCCTGCCCCTGGGGAGGGTGAGCCTGCTGGCCAGTGTCCACAACAGCAAAGCCATGGACAAAGCTGCCAGCGATCACCAACCTCTAGGGTAGAGACACAAGTCTCACTCTAGCCTATGCAACTAAATGAAATAGACCCTAGCCACAGCCCAATGGTCTAGGCTAGGAGTGCCAGGGAGGCTGGTATTCCAAGGCCAAAAGCAAGCAGAAGAGACAAGTGAGGCGAGTCAGGCCTGATTCTATTTGGCAAATTCTCAGCCTCTTCTGCCACAAACAGAGATGATGCAAAAGCAGCTACCCCTACTAGAAGATCTCACTTGAATGAAGAAGCCAATTATGCACCACAGTAGTCTGTGGCAGACATCACTGCCAACAAGGCTGGGCAGGCAGACAAGTGGCACTGGGGCTGGCCAGGAAACCAGCAACATAGGACCCTACCCATCCCTAACAGCAGCTGGGGCTTTGCCACGTCCACATCTGCCTGTGTCCGTAGCCTGGAAATGCCCTGAAGATCACCTGCAGGTGTCCCTCTGTTCTGAAGATCAACCAGGCAGTACCCTACCCACAGTGACGTAGCTTCCTTATATGCCTCCCACAGTGGCAAGCCAGGCTTCTTAACCCCTCAAGCTTCATAAAACTTCACCCTGCTAGGATGGGCTAGCCAGAGGGGAATTGTGTCTAACTCTTCATAAATGTACCTACGATATATGGCCAGGAGCTAAACATAGACATACAGAAAGGTTCATGAAGGTTAAAGAGGGTCCCAGCTACTAGTGAAGCTGAGGCAGGAGGATCACTTGAGCTTAGGAGTTCAAAACCAATCTGAGGCATATAAATAGACCCTGTCTAGGATGGAAGAAAGGAAGGGAGGGAGGGTGGAAAGGAGAGAGAGAAGGGGGGAGGGAGGGAGGGAGGGAGAGAGAGAGAAGGAGGGGGGAGAGAGGGAGGGAGGAAAGGAGGGCAAAACAGAATGTAGAACTAAGGAAGTTAATGACCTGCTTCTTATGGGATGTATGAGTTCCCCATCCCCATGCGGGAAGAGGTTCAGGGTACAGGCCACCTTCCCACCCCAGCACCCCTTCCTTAGCTGGTCTCATCCTGCTGGGTGGCCATACTATAAACATGACTCCAACCACAGGAGCCCAGCCCTCTGCCCCACCAAGAGCTTTGAACATCTCTCCCAAAGCCATATACATTCACCGTGTACATACATGTACACACACACTACACACACACACACACACACACACACACACACACCAGAAGCTTGCAGTAAAGAATGCTGCCTCTGTCACCTCAAGACCCTTTAGTCAGCACAGCTACAAGCAGACCTTCCAAATTCAGTAAGAATCTAGAGTCTCTTTGTCTTTTTTAATGTTTCCTTTCCTCTCTGCCTCTCATTTTTGGTTTTACATAAGTTATATTTCCAGACAGTACATCATTGGCACCTTGCTCCAGACAGAGCTTCTGCCCCAGCACCTGTCAGGAGGGTGCCCTTTGTCGAGCAGTCTGTCATCCGAGCAGTACCTCATCTCCCATGCAGCCTCCCTGTCATGGAGGAGACTGCCGCATGGTTTTCCAGCTTGTGGAGATGAACAGGTCCCTGCTCTTGGCCAGCCGAACCATGAGCCGGCCCACGTAGAAGCCACTGATCTGGCCCACACCATCGTTTCTGCCCATGGACAGGAGGAATGTCAGTGCACCTATGAGACAGACACACATACACAGAGCAGGATAATGCTTGAGAGACATCACCCTAATTCCTGGGCTTTCAGACTCTATCAGGCATGACTTTTAGGAAGGCAAGTCATCCTTCCTTTTGGGTCTGGGCCTGGGCCTGGGTCTGGGTCTGTGACCGTGTCTGTGTGAGTGTGGAGACCAGAGAACAACCTCAGCTATTTCTTTTTTTTTTAGATAGGGTCTTTCACTGGCCTGGAACTAGCCAAGTAATTTAGGCTGACTGGCCAATGCGCCCCAGGGATCCACCAATTTCCACCTACCCAGCACAGGGATTGCAAACACAGGCCACAAGGCCCAATTTTTTTACATCAGGTCTTCCTTGTATACACTTTACCAAATGAGTCATCTTCCCCAGCCTCTACTGTTTTTAACAGTGCTAGGGATCAAACCCAGGGCCTCACACATGCCAGGCAAGAGTTCTACCACTGAGCTACAACCCTAGCCCTGGTTTGTTTCCAAGAGGCTTTGAGCTAAGTCTGCAGTTCTAATGATCATTTACAGCTCCAAAAGCCTTCTGCATGTCTAAGTCCAAACTTTAGCAACTGTAACGTGCCCAGGCTTTCCTTACCTGGCTTGTAGGCTTTAAGAGGCCTCTGCTTCATAGAGTTGACAATGTTGGCCACAACAACATTGGCATGCAGGCCGGCGTGATAGGCCATCTTGGGCTCCTTGATGTCAGCACAGTCACCAATGGCATAAATGTTGTTGTAACCCTCCACCTGGAGGAACTCGTTCACCTTCAGAGCATTGTTGCTGGCCAGTCTGCTCTCTGCTGGGCAAGACAACACCCAAACCCAGTAGCCATGCTATGTGGCCTCAGGAACAAAGGGATGAGCCCTGGGTATGGATCCAGTCACCTCATAGGCATGTGCTCAAGATGTGACATGCCCACCTGCTGTCATCCTGCATGATATCCCCACCTAAGACCCTTCCTGACAAGGAAAGCCCAATCCATGTAGTTGAGGCAGAGCACCAGAGCTCTTTACAAGTGCAATGTCTAGGGGTTGGAGAGATGGCTCAAAGGTTAACACACTGGCTGCTCTTGCAGGGGACCCAGGTTCACCTTCCAGCACCCATATGACAGCTCACAACTATCTGTAACTACAGTTCCGGTTGATCTGACACCCTCTTCTGGTCTTCACTGGAACTAAGCAAAACACTCATACACATAAAATATTTTTAAATTAGAAAAACAAGTACAATGGCTGTCCAAATCTTAAGTTTCCTTTTGAACTTAGATTGGAATTTTAAAATAAATGCTAGACTTTCCTAGATGATAAATGGCTTTTCTTAAAGGACTTAAATGAACTTATCTTGAAAATATAGCATTAGGATAACAAGGTATTAAATTCTAACTTCTCTGCACATTCTAAGTGCTTGATCCCCACTCCTCCAGATCAGCTTCCTTCTGGATTGAACACTGACTCCCTGCTGGACAGCAGCAGGAGATACTGGTCAGAGAAATGAGTCCAGGAGCAAATGGCAGGGACCTGGGGACACAAAGCAACCATAGGGCCTGGCCTCTGCATTGCCCACTCATACACAGACACTTAAACACATATCAGGCCGCCTTCTATCCCTCTGGGTAACTAAATACTGACCTTTTAAGAAAAGAGGCCATGTTAGGGCCCCCATTTTCCCAAAGGGAGGATCTGAGCTGAAGTAACAAAATACTAATGTTTGGATGTGGATTTGGAGAGAGCAAGGCACCTGTGGGTGGAGAAAAGCCTGACTGGGATGTCCTCTAAATCCAGGAAAGGTCTTTCTTCCCTCTCTGAAGCCTGTTTCATCTCTCACCACTAAGGGGCAGTTCTAACCCTGGGTCTCCTTGGGCTAAGCAGCTGAAGGAAGCTCTTAAAGGTTCAAGGTCACCATTGGGACGAACTAGTGAGCGTTTGGGATGAAGGGGCAAAGAAAAGGGTGCTGATTTGGGGGGTGGGGAGGCAAGGGATGTGGGGCATCTTGGGGTGCCAGAGAGGAGGTAGCTTAGGGACATGACCATGGCCCCGCCACCTACTTACCAAATGCAGTGTGGTAGGCAGCGCTGTTGATCTTGATACCACTACAAAGGATGACCATGTTGGTGGCTACCTCGGTGCCCTTGTCTGTCTGCACCTTGATGTACTCCCGGTACTCATTGAAAGGCAGGTCCTCCAGGTTGCACACTCGCTCACCTGTGAAGGGGTCCATGACAGGAAGCTGGCAGAGGCCAGTGCCCACACCAAGGTGGGCCATGGGGAAAGCAATTACCCTCCTCATGTCTCCTGTCCCCAACTCCTCAGTGTACTCTCCTGCCCCACTCCACTCCCAAGAGCACAATGTGGACATCTGTCCCCAAGGAGCCCAATTGGAGGAAGGTTCCAGGAACCTGCAAAGTTGGGCTTTCCAAGGAGTTCTAGGAAATGCTATTCAACAGAAGTCCTCTTCCCTCTGAGTGGCAGCTTGCCCATCTTGTCTGGGCAGGAGGCCTCCCAGAATAACCCAGCCCAGAGAGCCAAGAAAGGGCTGGGGATAGAGCTTGGTTGGTAGAGTGCTTGCCTAAGATGCATGCGGCCCTGGGTTTCAACCTCTGTGCTACATAAACCAAGCATAGAGCTCTATGCCTGCAATCCCAGCACCTGGAAGATGGAGGCAAAAGAATGAAAAGTTCAAAGTCATCCTTAGCTACATAGTGAGTTCAAGGTCAGCCTAGGCTACATGAAAGCCTCTCCCGGAAAAGGAGAAGGAAAAAAATAAAGAATGAATAACAAATAGCAAAGAAAGTGAGAGAAATCTGCCTGAAAGTTAGGGAAGCCTGCCTGTAAATAAAGCACTCCCCATCCTCTATGACCAGTTACCAGAGGCTGTGACAGGTGGGAGGGACTTCCACACCAGCCCCCCGCACCTCTTCCCACAAAACAAGAGGAGGTGATACCCAGGGTGGCGAAGTATAGGCATCACCCCACTGGGATTAGAAGCCCACTCTAAATGCTGGGGCCAGTGCTCTCCTGCTCTGGACAAAAAGTCACACTTGGGCTGGAGAGATAACTCCGTGGTTAAGAACACTGGCTGTCCTACACAGGCATTGCACAACATAGGTACACTTACATATATGCAGGCAAAACATTCATATACATAAAAAAATAAAAATAATAAAATATTTTTTAAAAAAAGCTCAGGACAAACCCTTTAGAATCACTTAAAAAGTCATTCAGCATATACCATCCCCATGCCAGAGCAGTCACAGGCACTGCCACCCCATGACTTAGACTGTCAGCTGGACAAGGCTCAAGTGGGCTAAGATGCTTCTAACTATTCCCACTAAAACCCAGGTACAGAGGGAAGGAGGGCACTTGAGTGGGCGCCCACCCCACTGGAGGCATGGCTGAGATGGCACCCATCACAGGCCAGAGGACAGGCAGGAGGGGCAAAGTCCACTCACTCAGCAGCAGCTGCACGCCCTTACGAAGGAGGATCTCTTTCACTTCCTGCCGCACACAGGGCAGCAGTTCCTTGTCGGCCAGGGGTACTCTGGAGTGAATGAGCGTGACCTGGGGAACAAAATGAGCACATGGCTTGAGGGAACCTCCCTCTCAAGAGGCCCACCTCCTCCCTTACCTCCCTTACTACTGAGGACACTAAGCCCCAGAGAAGAACTCTGCACAGTGTTGGAACTACTTCCTGATGTACAGGGCTCCAGTCTGAGGCTGTTTCAGTACCCCTAGGTGCCCCTACACCAGAGGACCACCCATGTGCCACTGTACCAACCCACCCCTCACCTAGGCCAAATGGAAAATTCTTTCAGCACATAGGCACATCTAATTATATAATCTCTATATAAGGTGTCAGGCATTCCAACCTGACACTAGGCTGATGTCAACATTAAAGCTGGTTCTAAAATTAGTGCTTGTAGGCATGTTCCCTTGAGTCTGAGGCAGTACAAGGAAGAAGGTGGCACCCTGTAATCATGGTCAAAGTCTGGCTTTGAAATTGGACTGCCTGCACAGCCTGGTTGCACAAGCCTATATGTAATTTCTGTTACTATGGTGGCTGAGGCAAGAGAATTGAAAGTTTAAGGCTAGCCTGAGCTACAGAGTGAGTTACAGACCAATCTGGCAACTTAGTGAGACCTTCTCTCAAAAAGCAAGAAGAGCAGGGCACAGTGGTGCACGCCTTTAGTCCCAGCACTCGGGAAGCAAAGGCAGGTGGATATCTGTGAGTTCAAGGCCAATCTTGTCTACATAGCAAGTTCCAGACCAGCTGGGACTACAGAGAGACTAAGTGGATGCATCCAGAACCAGAACAAAAACACCATTTTAAAGTAGAAGACACCAGGGCTGGGAGCCAGAGAGATGACTCAGCAGTTAGGAGCACTGGCTGCTCTTGCAGAGCACCTGGGTTCAATTCCCAGCACCCACATTGAGGCTCACAACTATATATATAACTATAACTTCAGTTGCAGATCCAATGTCCTCTTCTGCCTCTTCAGGCACCAAGCACACACATGGTGCATTTACACACATGCAGACAAACCACCCATACACATAAAATTAAAATAAATAAAATTTTTAAAGATTTTAAAAATTATTTTTAAACTATGTGTATATATGTGTGGGGGGTGCATGAGTGCAGTGCCTATAGAGTCCAGAAGAGGGCATCTGATCTTCTGGTGCTGGGGTTACAGGTAGTTGTAGGCTGCCTGATGTAGGTGCTGGGAACCAAACTCAGGTCCTCTTCAAGAGCAGTATGAGCTCTTAACTGCTGAGCCATCTCTCCAGCCCCATTTGAATTCTTTAAAATATTCTTTGTGATAGGTAAGTAATAGTGAGCAAGCTGTTTCTCTGGCATGTAAGACACTCTACACTACTAAGCCCAAGGAGAAGATGATGGGAGCTTTCAATGTGTAGCTAGGTTAGATGGAGTGCACAGGGAACTCCCCTGGCATCTGAGGTAGGAGCAGCTTTGTGGTGCTGAGTCCCTGACCTGTGAGGTCTGTGCCAACTCCAGGCAGAGACAGAGTTGAACTCAATCATAGGACACCCAGCTGGTGTTGGGTAAGCAGTCAATGTAGGGAAAGACCCATACAACTCATCGCAGAAGCACTGCATGTCAGCACAAAGGGTGGGTTTTCCCCTCCACAACACTCATAAATCAAGATGAATACTTTAACTACATCATCAGTCACCATAATTTCAAGTAATTTGTCAGAGAACAAGCATATAATTAAATTAGCCCGGATTGATTTCCCTTTTCAAAACCAACTATCTCTCCCTAGGGAGAAAAGAGCCATTCTCAGGCTCTGTGTGGCTGGTAGGGGCTGACCCATACAAGCTGCAATAAAGCCCTGGTCTGAGAGCCAATCACTGCAACTGTCACTTGGCCCTCACTGCTCCCTCAAGCCTGGGGTCTTCTCTCTCTAAGGCGCCAAGTGGGTTCCTTCTCTCTCCAGCATTAGAAAAGTCAAAGCAGGCTGCTACCCTCCCATGGGTAACAGGAACTGAAGGTCAGTCCTTCCCAAGCATGGGCAGTTCTCCCAATGCCACACAGGTGTGGACCACCATGTGGCTGTCCAGGACAAGGGCTGCCCAATTAGGCAACATGCCAAGAAGTCTCACAGCAATGAGGTCATCAAAGTCTAGACTTTATCCCAAAGTCTTGTGCTCTGAAGGCAACATCAGCAGTCCACTTTACAAGGCATTTCCCTGGTCCACCCTCCCTGATGAGGACGTGTGCAGTCAGCAATAGCTCTACAAAGGAGCTCACTGTCTAGGAAAGTTCAGAATTATTTTTTAACACAAGGTGGAGAACACACTCTGCTGATATAAGTAGAGCTCCAGCTTCCCCAGGCTTCAGCAAAGTCCTGATGTTAATCAGAGTAAGCAAGAAGAAGCTATTGGGCCAGGCAAGATGGCTCAGTGGGTTAAGGGGCTTGCCACCAAGACTGATGACCTGAGTTCAAGCTCCAGAACCCACATGGTGGAAGAGGAGAACTGACTCCCAGAAGTTGTGGTATGCATGCCCTCCCCAACAGGCAACACACATGCATGAATAAATAAATATATACTAAATTTCAAAATAAGAGCAGACTGCTAAGAATTCGCAGGCAAAGCTGCCTGCCTCACCTCCTTCTCTGGGTATTCAGTTTTAATCTCTGCTGCCATCTCCACTCCCGCAGATCCACCTCCCACCACCACAATGAACTGTGAGCGCTGGATCTGGAGAGGAAGGGATGGAAAAATACACCCACAAGTAACAAGTGTGATGGACCAGGGACATGCCTGGCACAACATACACAGGCCCTCCAGGGAAATGTCTCCTTAGCAGCTCTCAGCTCAGACTGCTTGGGCAGCTGCGAACCCCACCTCCACTGCCCATCTTCCCCGCCCCACCACACCCCCACTCCGGGGTCTCCCTGTTCCAGCCCAGGCTGTGGCCAGGTCCTCTCTGGCCTGTCAGTGTGCTCACCTGCTTCACCATGTCCTCGTAGACCTGGATGGCAGCCTGCTGGCAGGAAACCTCATTAAACTTGCCAGGGAAGGGCCCAGTGCTGCCTGTGGCCAGGATAAGATGTGAGAAGGGCAAGGCCTGTGAGGGACAAGAAAGTGTGGGTAGGACAGAGAGGACAGGCTAGGATTCTGCCTCTAACACCAAGTTCCCTGCAGCCCAGGAGCACTTCAGGGAAGAGGCCCAGGTAGCACTGGTGGAGGAAGAACAGAATCAACACACTGATGAGGCCAAGAAAGGTACCAGATGCCAGGAAATCCCTAAGGAAACAGGAGAGCACCAAGTATAGAGCTGACCATCATGGGGGATGCAGGGAGCGCCCATCACCACTGGGGAGTGGAGAAAAGCAAGATTCACACTTCCAATGTGTTTTATTTTGTTTTTGAAATGGGGTCTCATGTAGCCCAGGTTATACACCAAGGATACCCTTGAACTTCTGATCCTCCTCCCTCTAGCTCCCATGTGCTGAGATTACACAGGCAAGTACCACCTTGATCAGTTATACAGAGTGCTGGGGAATGAATCCAGGACTCATGCATGCTAGGCAAACACTCTATCAACTGAGCTACATCTTCCCAGTCCCTCTCTTGCTTATGGTAGAACCCTACTCAAGTCAAAGGGGAGAGAGTCATAGCAAACACTAAATGACATTTATGTAAAAGCTCAGGACAGTGTCTGGCATGTAGGACCCAGGAAACAACACCTGCCATCTTCCTGTAGTTGCTGTGACCAAGGAAATCTGTGCCTGTGCAGCAGCAAGTGGGCTGGAGACCTCGGATGGCTCTCCTGGCCCTTAAGAGAGCCTGCTCTGGCCAGAGCACCATCAGTCACCCCATCCCACCCACCTCTCTCTCTCTCTCTCTCTCTCTCTCTCACACACACACACACACACACACACACACACACACACACGCACTCACCTCACCACCCTGCAGTAACACTGTCTGGTTTTTCAGGTCTATGTCAACCACCTTGCCCTGTCGGAAGTTGTCCTTGAAGGTCACTGAGTAGGAAATGAATGTCTTTTTGGCAAACCCTAGGGAACAGACACAGAAGAGGTCACAGGGTAGAACCAGACCAAAGCTTTCCAGAGATGCACAGACAAACTCTTGGCCATAGTCAGGCCAGCAGGTGTACACAGGTGCCTACTCTGCACTGAAGTGTCCATCTGGTCCTCAGAAGAACCCAACATCAGAGCTGGAGAGATGGCTCAGCAGTTAAGAGCACTGGCTGTTCTTGCAGAAGACCCGGATTTGAATCCTAGCACCCACATGGCAGCTAACAACTGTCCATAAACCCCAGTTCCAGGGGATCCAACACCATCTTCTAACCTCCACGGGCATTGTATGACATCAAAACACTCATACACATAAAATAAATATAACAAAATAAACGAAAAGGCATGAGTTCTTGAAAACTATTTGGTGTTGATTTTGTTATGAGCAAAGATACTGTCACTATAAAAAGAGATGGAATTATTTTACTACAATATGAAAGGAAAGATTAAGTTAAAAATGCTTTACAGA